CCCTATGGGAAACGAAGCCGCCCCGCCGGTTTTCCGCCTCGTCGCATGTACGGGAACTGGCGCTCCGGCCTCGTGGGAATGTCACGGGAGGACCGCTATTACTTTAAAGAAGGTAAGGGATACTATAGTTTTTTTTCTTGAGGTTATAAGAGAACATAAACTACAATTAAAAGAACAACAACATGTGATAATATGTGTTTCATACCTTCGCATTCTCTGTCGTGACACTTGAAATGGCCCGTCCTTGATCTACAATTTACAACACACATGACTGAAACAACGGAAAACAAAAATATCATAATCATATACATAAAAGGATACCCAGTCATTGGCTGAAGGTGAAGAGTTTATTTGAAAATAATCAAGAGATGCAACAATACGTTTGCTGTGTAGGTTATGAATATTTTGAAATACCTGCGTTGTTGTGTCAAAAATGCATGTTTTTTTTATTTGTAACTAAGTTAAAATATTGTTCTCATTTCACCTCTCACTACCTACTTACGACTACTGCGTGAGCCTATACAAGGGACCCCCTGGAAGCATAGGTCACCTCTCCCAACCAAGGGGATGCATGTTGTCCCCCGACTTAATTGGCAGTTCTCAAAGAGTTCGGTGGGGTCAGTGGTGAAGTTAGCCAGGTAGAACAAGAACGGTGAGGATGAGATACCACGAGGAGAACAACAAGGAGGACGAGGAGACAACATAAACAGCACCACCTACAACGTTTTTTTAAAGTACATATAACACTCATGGTACAAAAGAAAAAACTACTCTTCTACAGTGCTCATAAAAAAACTCACCACCGTTTCTCCTGTGTTGACGCCCGATATAGCTGCAATAACGGGTTCCAGAGAGATCGAAGACAATATTCTTTTCCCGAGGATACAGAGTCACTCCTCGCACAATGCCTGTCCATAGAAAGGGGGAAAAAAAAGCAAAACAGAAAAGAAATTGTGTTACAGTTGCTATGAAATGACTGTATCAAGTGTGAAAAATTCCTCCAATATGAGAATTGAAACATGTCAGATTTGCCAGTTGCTGTCCGACGGAGGGCAAATGTCCGACCTTTGGGTGAGTTTCTAGAATAGTCGGAGCCACAACCAAAAGGTTCTGTTTGCTGGAAAAAAAAAAAAAAAACTATCAGATTTCAAAAGCAAAGTTCAATTGAAAACGATTAGAGTCTCACATTTTTTGTTTGGCAGACTGTGTTTGCTTGCAAGTGATAAGACAAAACCATCCGGCGCTGGGAATGGTGACACAGAAAGCTTGACGGAGCGATCACGCTGAGCATAATGCTGAAAAATATTGTCCAAATCTCGGACCTCAACTGCTTGCCAAAAACTATCTTCCTCTGTCACACCCTGCAAAAAAAGATTCATAACAGAAATAAATCAGATTGATCATTGATCACATTTTGATATGCAATTCAATAACAATGATTTGTTTCACCCACAGGAACATTCTAATAAGAAACTCACACATATCAGATGGAGGGACGCTCGACACCATCCCCAACCTGCAAAAACAAGATGTATCAATACAATAGTTAATGTCAAGAGTCCAACTATCTTGGTTTTTGACACAAGTGACATGCAGGAGGGTCCTAACTGGAATCGCACCTACGACTGGCTTACCACCTGGGATAGTTAGCTCGCCGCCCGCCGCAATCAGTCTTGCTCTCATAATAAAAAAAATAAAAAATAAAAAATTAAAGCACGATTTTCGCACCTCGTATCCTACACGTGCGTTATTTCGTGCCCTTTCGACGACTTCCCCCTAGCTTCCCCCTCGGACCCCTACAACTTTCTCCCTGACTTTTCCTCTTCTCCCTCCTTTCCCTCTGTACTTTTTCCTCTTCTCGTACTTCCCATTGTCCTCCTCCTCCCCCTTCTCCTCCTCCAACTCCATCTCTTTCTGCCTCCCTACCCTCCCTCCCTCTTAGGCTTTCGCCTTCCTTTTTCTCCTCCTCGTGTTCCTCTTCCTCTTCCTCGTCCTCCCCTTCATGTCGCTTCGTCTCCCTTTCGCGATCAGAGGGAATAGGAAAGAAAAACAAAACAACTATAGCCTCGTCCTCCCCTTCATGACGCTTTGTCTCCCTTTTTCGCGATCAGAGTGAGTAGGAAAGAAAAACAAAATCACCATAGCCTTTTTGGGCCCCCTTTTCCAGACGGCATTATCATCTTACCTTGTCCTTGCAAAGAGTGCTCCTTACTCCTTATCTTTCATCTTCATCGCCATCTTCAACCTCGTTTTCATCAGTTAGCGTCGTCATGATACGGTGCTTTGTCTCTCTCTCTCTCTCTCTCTCTCTCTCTCTCTCTCTCTCTCTCTCTCTCTCTCTCTCTCTCTCTCTCTTTCTCGCGCGCGTGCAAGTGCGCGCACCCACCCACACACAGTTTGGGTGTTTGTGTGAACCCCACAAAAAACGCACGACTGTGCCAGACAGTTTCGTTGGAATTTCACCAACTCATCAGGAGGTTGAACCCCGACGGGCGTTAGTGTCGGTTGCACCTCAGTGCAGGGAAAGCGCCGCCCTGCAACGGCCAAAAAGGCCCTACCCCTCTGCACACAGCCTAACCGGTTGTCCAAAGATTGCACGGCGATCCATGCCCTTCCCGGCCCTGGCCCTCTTCACAGGGCCTTCCAGGCTCGGATCCTCAAATTCTCACATTAGGAACTTTTAGAAGTGTAGGGATCTTCATGGGGAGGTGCAACTACCAGCAAGAGGACAAACTACGAGGAGCTATCCGCTGAACTGCTGCTTTGTGCAAGGAAACCAATAAAGTTTTACCTGTGCAGAGAGGGTCCCACCAAGCACAGCATAGTTCTCTGACGTTTGCCCACTACAACTTTCTGATCCTTGACTTTCAGAGGTGAACTCTGTGATGAAAATTTTCTTCAGCTCCTCAACATTTTCAACCTGTGGCAACAAAAATCAATAAGAGAATGAAAAAAAAAGACCAGTTAACAGTTAAAAATCACAAAATCTGGAAAACAATTTCAGAAGAATTTCTTCACCTACAACATTGTGAGAATTTGTGACAACAAAGACATCCACATCGTCGCTACAAAAAAACTACACTACAAAATTCACATGAAAATCGGACAAACAAGCAGTAACACTTCTTACCGTGAAGCTTGGAGTGCCAAAGCGCCCGGTTGGAATCATCGAAGATGAAAGTCCTTGCTTAGTGGAAAATGGCAACCTCATTAGCTGCTTCGCCTTGTAAACATTATTGTCAATGAAGAGAGACTCCCTTCGATGTTAACACATAGAGATCTTCATATGATTGAAACTTGCATCGATTGTGATCTATATATGCGCACACCTAAAAAAAAGCAAAAAAATAGAGAAATATAAGTTATTAATCAAACAAGATGAGCCAGCGCGGCTCCGGCTGTGTCAGGAAAAGGGAGATTGCAAAGGACACAAATAGTCGAAGGGGAGAGATGTATTAGAAGCGATGTGAAGAAGTTCAGGTTCATGAGAATGAGCAGTTGCGACTAGCAGAGAAAAACATGGGTGTGAAAGAAGGAAGAGGGTGGCTGTCACAGGAATTCAGATGTTGCATAGCTAAGGACATTGCTGTTGAGGTGGCATGTCGAGAATGATAGGCGGGTAAAAAAACAGCAATGCGTTTGTTTGAAAAACACAGATGGATGAAAAAAGTACATGGATCCTTCCATGGGAAAGAACTTTGTTTCAGGTCTACGACATCACAAAATAACCCCCTCCTAAGCCTTGATAAAGAGGTAAGTCAAAACCCCGCACGCCATAAACACTGCGTACATTGGCCACAAAGACCGAAACCAGCAGTACACTCGGGTCCGGAGGGACCTTACCMCGTGCCAAGCTTTTCCGAACCGCCAGTGGCGCACTTTCTTTTTTGGCTGGGCGCCTGCAGCCATTGTGGTCCTGTAGGCCGAGCCTCCAGAATTTTCGTAGGCGACGAGTTGCATTCTCAGCAAGAATGGGGCCATGTACTGGCAGCTTAGCCCCCTCCTGCTGCTCCTCCCCCGGCAAGTCAAGAATATACATCACACCTCCGACCATTTGTTCAATCCATGCACAACATCGGTTACTACTCAGTGCTCACGAAGTAGAACAGGGACAGCGGCCATCCTTTTTTTTTGAAAAAAAGAAAGTGGGACAGCGGCCATCTAGTCGCTTGGTTTGGCCATTTCCTTCACTGGGTATAGTGCCTCACCGCACTAATCACCAAATGCACAGAAGAAAAATGTTTATGGCAACCAGATGAAATGTTGCTGCTTCGCTCGCAAAATCTAATACGACTGGTGATGCAGTAACGGTGGAGGCAACTGTCTGATGCAGACTCTCTCTCTCTCTCTCTCTCTCTCTCTCTCCCCCCCCCCCCATACACACGCACCCAAACACCCAAACACATAAATAACGGGGAAAAGAAAAGAAAACGGAAAAACATCGGGCCATGCAACATGGTGCGATGCCACCTGGACGATTTCACACCTCTAAGCCTTCCCACTGCTCCCGCATGACTTTCCCCTTCCCCCTCCACATCTACTGTCGCACATACCCTCATCAAACACCCTTGGATCCCCCCATCTCCCCTCCTTTCCCCAGTTCACACACTTCCCTTCTTCACTTCTCTTCATCCCCCCCTTTTCCACCCCAGGCCCCCCCTTCGCTCTGCGCCATCAACCCTCAGCTCCACTTCCCCCTAGCCCTCCCCCCTTCCTTGTTGCCCTCTCTCTCTCTCTCT